CCCCATGCCACTGTTATTCTCCCAATAGGACTGTAAGGTCAAAATGAGCGCATAGAACAGTTCAGGGTCGGGCATGGTGGCTCACGCCTGTAATCCCAGCAGCACTTTGGGAGACTGAGGCAGGAGGACTGCTTGAGTCCATTGCTTGAGTCTCCACTCAGGAACAAAAAAACAGGGCTGTGGCTGCAGAGCCACTATCTCCCCATCTTCCTTTGTGGGGCCCAGACCTACAGGCCCGGTTTCACAATTTGGAGCCATCTTTGCTTCAGAATTCCAGAGTCTCCCATGTCTTTCCCCTGGAGCAAAGTGCACACCCACCTACACAGTCACACAGGCACACTTGCCCACAGATGCTCAGGCGACCCCACAGATCTGGAAGGCACACACACACTCCAGGTGAGATCAGGCCACAGAGTGGTGATGACAACTGCCTGGGCCAGTGGTGACTAGCTTTGAATGCTTGTCCCTTACTCCAGGAAACAGGAAAAGGCAGACCCAAGGAGCAGGCTAAAAGGCCAAGGGCAGGAAAGACTTAAGTCTGGGGACCTGCTGTCCCTTCCCTCTAGCCAGGACTCCAGTGGGTCCCTGGGATTGGAGCTGTGAACTCCCACATGGTCCTCGTAGGTGATGGGGCAAACTGGAGCTGCACAGAGAACCATGACCTTTGGCTGGACCATGAGCAGGTGTTGTGCTAGCTTGAGTGACTTTAGCAAGTGGAGGTGTGGGTGTGAGTACATGTGTATGTGTACACATGTTGGCATGTGTGTGGGCAGCTTCAATGCTGAGCTCAGCCAGTAAACCTACCAGGAACCCCTCAGCCGGGGAGGTTTCAAACTGATTTGAGATCATTTGGCTCAGAGGAAATCTATGAACTTAATTTTTTCTGGCTGAAAAGTAGTACACGTTCATTGTAAAAAATAATGTGGAAAACAAAAAAAACAGAGTGTGAAAAAGAAAATGAAAAGCACCTGTGCTCTCACCCCAGAGATAATCGCTTTTGACATTTTGGTGGAGTTGAGATTGCATGCACTTGCCATTTTCTTCTCATCCTTCTCACTGAATCTGTAATGAGTATTTTCTCACATCATTACTTTCAGTACACCTGTTCAGAGACCGCGTACCATTGTATTGTGTACCATGATTTATTGAACTTGCTTCCATTGTTGGACATTTAGTGGCTTCCAGTTTGTCCCTGTTGTGTAAAACCAGGATCATATGTCTTTGCACAGGCAGTGCCTAGATGCCCTGCTTACAGGTACACTGGAGTTCCAGGAAGGTTAGCCCAGGGAAGGCTGAGTGTGGGCATTGTGGGGGCTCAGCTGGGTTTGCTTCTCCCAGGAGAATCTGACAGGAGTGGGGCAGGGTCGGAGCCAGCACTCAGCTGTCCCTGCCTGCTTTGGACAAATGCCCTGCAAACATCCCTGCAGTCTCCAGGATTCCGTCCATCCCAACTGAGGATATCAGGCAGGAGGGAGGTGACTGCCAAATCCCCTGGTGAGGCAGAACACAGGGCAAGGGTGAGTTTGAGGTGTTCATCTGCTCTAAGTGCCCTGGGACTTCCCACCCCCACCACGAGTCCCTGCAGACCTCACCCTCGTGGATGGTGACAGAGCAGGGCTTTGACTGAGGGACCCTTGGGTTCTAGGTTGAGAGAGGGACATTAAGACCAGCTGGAGGACCTGCGGGGCTACCCTTGTTCTGCTCCCCCGGAGGGCGGGTGAGATGCGCAGGGAAGGGGGCCCTGGACCTGGGGCAGCACTAACCTGGGGCGGTGGCTGGGAAATCAGGAGATGCATCCATGGCTTCATGGCCCATCTGGAAAAGAGGAGCCTTTCCTTTCCTTTGCCTTCCTCAGGCTGTGACCTCCCTAGGCTCTGCTGTCCCCCTATTCCTGATCCTCATAAGGGAGAGGGGTGGGGGAGTTCACATCTGTAAGGCTCCTGGGGGCCATGGGATCATGGAATGTTAGTGCCACAAGCGGTACTGTGACCACTTCATCCATCCTACCCTGGTAGAGATGGGGAAGCTGAGGGGCCCGGTCGACAAGCTAATGGAAGTGGACCAAGAATGGCAGCCCAGTGCACCTGACTCTCAAACCCATGAGCTTTATAGTGGCCCATCCCTTCAACTCCACACCTGTGGTCACTGGTGGGAGGAAGGAGGCCATGACAGGAGCTCAGATGCTGCCCTTGGGGGTCAGAAGAGACCAGTCTGCTGTCAGTCTGCCCAGAGGAGCACAGGCACAAGCCCGGCCCAGCAAAACCTCCGCCTTGGTGCTCCAGCTCCTGCCTATGGGAAGGTGCCCTCCACGGCACAATCTAAGGGGCTCCCTGCATTCTTTTACTCCCAGACAGGAAGGAGGAGGGCCAGCATTTGGCAAAGTTGGGTTTGGTGACTCCCGCCTGTAGTCCCAGATACTCTGGAAGCTGAGGCAGGAGGCCCTGCATTTTGTGACTGCTGACGAACTGTACTCTGAGTCTACACAATGTGTCCAAGCTTACATACCCTGCAGAGTGGCTTCTGCCACAGCCAGGTGACAGTCCTTGTGGAACTCAAGTGCACCAACAGAGCCCTGGTGCATGACAGCCCAGCATCCCTGACACCATTGGAGCCATCCATGGGTGAGGAGCTGGGCACTTGGATACATCCCCTTCTCCACATCCCTCCATGTTCTTTGTTAGATGTTCTTGGAGCCCAGCTTGGAGGCAGCCCCTTTTGGGGTCAGAGCTCAGAGGCATGGGCAGCTCTTCCTGCTCCTGTGCTCCCATGCAGACAGCACCCACCCTCACCCTCACTCTCACCCTCCCAGTCAGTCAAGGGAGCCTGGTCCCCCATGGACACACCCTCAATGCCCTGCCCTGGCTTGCCTGTCCCTCCCTTCTCTTGCCCTGTGCTGCTACCTGGGCATGATTCCTGGAACCAGATTTTCAGCATCTAGTTGCTTCTCTTGGGGCAGAAGTAGACAAGGCTGTTTACCGGGCTTGCACCAGGGATTCTTGATAAGGGCTGGTGCTGTACAGAGACTAGACCATGCCAGCCCTGAGAGCAGAAGCATTTCCCCATGCTCTCCCCTTTTCCATTAGCAGAGACCCGCCAGGATGTCAGACGTGCAGGTGAGTGAAGTCAAGGTCTGAATCCCAGAAGGACATCAGCTCCTCCATTTAGAATCCACAGCACACCATCGTCTCGGCCATCTCTTGGGATCCACAAAACAACCTTGTGGGATGGGCAGGAATATCATCTGCACTTTACAGATGAGGAAACTCCGAAAAGCCTGTGCATGTGCCCAAGGCATCAAGGCCAGGACTGAACTCCCAGTCTTCAGATTAGAAATCCAGGGCAAAATCGAGCATGGTCGTTAGCACCTGTAATCCCAGCCACTCCAGAGGCTGAGGCAGGAGGGTTGCCTGAGCCCAGGAGTTCCAAGCAGGCCTGGGCAACATAGTGAGACACACACACACACACACACACACACACACACACACACACACACATTCACACACACACACACACACACACACACACACACACACACACACACAAGCTGGGTGTGGCAGCATCTGTAGTCTCAGCTGAGGCAGGAGGATCACTTTAGTCTAGAAGTTTGGGGCTGCAGTGAGCTATGAACTCACCACTGCACTTCAGCCTGGTTACAGAGAAAGACCCTGTGTCAAAAAGAAGAAGAAGAAAGAAGAAGAAGAAGAAAGAAATCCAGAGCAAGACACAGACCCCTCACCCCTGGGTTCCACGATGACCCTACTGGGAGGGGAGTGGGAGGCCTCTGGAGCCACCTGGCCCACATTTCTATACCTCACTTCCATTCTCCACATCCCTGCATGTGTGTGGGTTCGTGGTTCCCAGGTGCTGGGTAGGTACGTGGGGCAACTGAGGAGAGACAGGCAGCTCTTCAGTGTCTCTGTGTGTATAGGGTATGGTATAGGGTCACACCTCAGCACCCGGGAGGCCCCCTTAGACCCTACAAGTGCTTCCTGAAGTCAGTTTTTCCTAGTGGCCTAAGGTGCATCCCTCAAAGACAATGGCTGGAGGACGCATCTCCCCCATCAGGGATGACAGGGCTGAGCATGCACCGTGCTGAGCTCTGGGCTTTGCGTGGTCCTGACTGACCCTAGAATGAATCCCCCTCAGCCTCAAATCCCACCCGCCACCGAGGCCTGTCACCATCTCCCAAGGCCCATCTCCTTTTCTCCATCTCCACCACCGATGAGTCCCAGCCATCCTTCCCCACTTGATGTCGCAGCAAGACACCTTAGTGGGGTCACAGTCAGCCCAGCCCTCTTCAGTCCACTCCCCACATATGGGGAAGGCTGCAGGACCTACCCTATCACCTGCTCAGACCTCAACTGGGCCGCATGTCTGGCCCATGCCCCGTCTGACACCTTCCTCTGTACTCTGCCCAACCAGCGCTCTCCTGGGCGCTCATGCTGCCTCGCCTGCATCCATGTCCTGCCGTAGGGCCTTGGCACACACTCTTCCTTCTGCATGCAATGTGCTCCCCATCCCTTCAGCTTGCTGCCTTGGCATCTCCTGCAGACCTCAGCTCCAAAGCCCTCCCCGCATTTCTGTGTCACCTCTGCTGCCTGCCTGTTCTCGCCCCACCTGCTATGCTTCTTCTGGAAGGAGATGTGATCTTACAGTTATCTTCTCCACCAGACTCGACACTCCATGAGGACAGGTTGTACCCTCTCCCTTCCCCGCCTCTCACCTTCCTTTCTCTCCATTGTACCCCGAGCATCTGGAATGGTGCCTGGCATACAGCCGATGCTAAATCAATGCCTGCTAAGTGGATAATGAGTGAGCCACCATTTGGGGAGCGCCATGGCTAGCCCCAGTCTGCAGACAAAGAGTGAAGGCTCTGAGAAGCGAATGACAGCACAGGCGGACTTTGAGCAAGCCAGATGGCAGGGCCAGCATCTTCCCCACTTCCAGCTCCGCCCGGACACCCCGGCCTCAGAGTCTGTCTGTCTTTCTCTCCCGACAGGCTGTCTGAGGGCTGCGCAGCTGGCCCAGGTTCCCCACCCCAGCCGCCACCCCTAGGACCATGGAGAGTCTGAGTGAGCTGCAGAACCCACTGCTGTCCAGGAGCCCTGCCCACCTGCACGGCCCCTACACCTACTCAGAGGTCCCGCCCAGCTGGCCCTGCCAGGAGAAGCTCTACTCCTACCTCCTGGGTGGCACCGGCCCGGCCCGCGCCCACCAGCTCCTAGACCCGGGGTCCCTGCAGCTGGCCGTGGAGGCCTGGTACCGGCCCAGCAGCCTCCTGGGAAGGGACAAGGTCCAGGAGCCCAGGACAGGCAGCTGTGAAACCAGCTTCACAGAAGGAAGGGAACCCCAAGCAGGGTCCACAGAGCAGATCACAGAGCCTGGCCACATGGAAGAGGATGTCACCATCCAGACTGTGTCCTATGGAGTGCAAGAGGAGCTGCAGGGCCAAGACGACCAAGAGAAGGAGGAGGTGAGCACGTGTGTCTAAAATGCAGATTCCCAGGGCCCCACCACCAGATATTGAGGTTGAATAGACGTGGACTGGGGCCCAGGAATCTATATGCTTCCAAAGTAAAGAGACTTCTGGCCAGGCTCGGTGACTCACACCTGTAATGCCAGCACCTTGGAAGGCAGAGGCAGGAGGATTATTTGAGGCTAGGCATCCAAGAGCAGCCTGAGTAACAACGACACCCCATCGCTCCAAATTTTTTTTTTAATTAGTCATGCCTGTAGTCCCAGCTACTCAGGAGAATGAGGCAGGAGGATCACTCGAGTCCAAAGTTCAAGGCTGCAGTGAGCTATGATGGCACCACTGCACTTCAGCCTGGGCAACAGAGTGAGCAAGAACCTGTCTCGAAAAAAATAACAACAACAAAAAACAGAAGAAAAAGAAAAGAGACTTCCGACACAAGTACCCAGGCTGAGTGCAGTGGCATGCTCACAGCCACCACAACCTCAACCTGCTGGGTTGAGACAATCCCTCCATCTCGGCCTTCCATGTAGCTGGAACTACAGGCATGCGCTACCATGCCTGGCGTATTTTTTTATTTATTGTAGAGACGAGGTCTCATCAAGTTGCCCAGGTTGTTCTCGAACCCGTAGGCTCAGGCAGTCCTCTCACCTCTGCCTCCCAAAGTGCTGGAATTATAGACTTGAGCCACTGCATCTAGCTTACAGTCCACACTTTGAGAAACACCAGCTCAGGTTGACTATGTAATTGTTTAATGGTATCTGTTGTTCTCATTTTCTTAATTAGGTAAGTAATTTAAACTCAATACAGAAAACCACTCGGAGATAATGTTATTTTGGTGGATGATTGTCCAAATCTCTTTTCATTCACGTTTTCTTTCCCATATCACTCCTCAGAAGAAATTGTGCTGTTCTTGGTTTTACAGCCTGATTTTTCTCTCCGAGCAGTACATTTCAGTATTGCGCCAAGTAATTTAAGTTTTTCTACAAGGTGGTTTTGGGTGGTTGGATGGTCTTTCCACCATTTATTGACTCAACCTCCTGGTTACTGAGCACTGAGAGCATTTCTAGCTTTTCACAATTGTTGGGCTATGTGAACATCCCTGGATATGATACTTGCCTCGCCTCATGATAATTCCTGATTGGAATTGTCAGGTCACGATTAAGGCTTTAGGTAGAGGGTGCCAAGGCTGTCCTCCACACCCACCCACAGAAGGAGAGCCTGGCTGTCACTCTGCACCACTGCCCACCATGTACTGCCTTTTTAAAAAGCTCTTGCCAGTCTGACAAGGCTGGACCGATCCAGGCTGATTCACCAAAACCCACTGTTTTGCAGAGCGACACGACCTCAACAGAGAGTGAAAGCGAAGACAACTTCCTCACGCTGCCTCCCCGGGACCACCTGGGCCTCACCCTCTTCTCCATGCTCTGCTGCTTCTGGCCACTGGGTGTTGCTGCCTTCTACTTCTCCCAGGGGGTAAGAGCTGCTAGGCCCAGGACTCCCGCTCCGGCACCGCCCGCCATTAGAGGCTGGGCCTCCCCACTGCAAGACGGGCCGGGGCCTGGCGGGCTGGGCTGTTTGGCTGAGTGTGGGGACACTCACATTCATTAGCCCGTTTCTCTCCCTAGACCAGCAAGGCCATCTCCAAGGGGGACTTCCGCCTGGCCAGCACCACCTCCCGCCGGGCCCTCTTCCTGGCCACCCTCGCCATCGCCGTAGGGGCCGGTCTCTATGTGGCCGTGGTGGTGGCTCTGGCAGCTTACCTGTCCCAAACTGGCCATGGCTAGTGGCCAGTAGGGCCTGCATCCTGACTCCCCTGCCCACCTGAGGAGGCACAGGGCTTGGGTTCGCAGACCCTGTGGAGAGCCCCGGCCATTGAAGAGACTCCCTGAGAGTGGCTTGCTGGGGGATGCCCCCAGTCTGCAGCCTGCCAAACTCAACTTTCACTTCCTTTTCTCCCCCCAACCCAGGCCCAGAGCAAGGCAGGGGCACCACCCTCTAACCCAGGCTGCAATGGGCAGCAGAAGAGGGCAGAGCTGCCACCAGGCCATCCCAGCGGGTCTAGCTCAGCCATTCTGCACATTCCCTTGAGGGTTTCCCACCATGCTGGCAGCTCACCACCCACCCTGCCAACCTCCCCATAGAGAAAGAGCAGGAGGTTATAGGGAGGTGAAGGGTACCCGGGGACAGGGGACTGCCCAGTGCTTTCAGCCATATGGATCTCTGCCTGCTCCCCCCACCCCCGCACCCTGCTCCCTCCTGACCCCAGCGCGCCCAGGCCCCCACCGGCCAGGAGGGAAATGCAGGAGGCCCAGGAGCCCTTGCTCTCTCTGACTCTAAGGGTGCTCACCGCTCCTGTGAGCTACGAAGACACTGAAGATTCTAGACAGAAGAGGGGTCTTGGTATGTGAACTCTGAGCCAAGGAGCTTCTTTGTGCAAGGGTAAAAAAGGCAGTTCTGATGACAGAGACTTGAAGGCCCTAAAATATTGCTGGACCCCACATGCCTCTCCACCCTGCCCATCTCCCTGCCCTGTGGTCCTTTTCCGGGCTCTGTCTGGGAGCCCTGAGCCAATGCCAGCACAGGTAGATGGAGAGAGAGTGCTGTTGGCCTGCTGGCCACTGAGTGTGGAAACTTAGGTCCAGCCCTGCAGGAAACACAGTGTGGAGAGACCCTGGGGAGTAGTGAGTATAGATGACAGGAGGGTACAGGGTGGCCTGCTGAGTGGCCAACAGTTCTCAGGAAGCCTTTCTGGAGGAGTGTCCCTTGAGTAAAGCCTAAAAGGATAAGTAGAACTCATCAAAGGGATTTGTCTTCACATTACTCCTTGTATTTGTGGGCAAGGTGGGGCGGGAGTCTTCCATAGAGGCTTTCCAAGCTACTTGGGTTCTGCCTGGAACGTCCTAGCTGGAACCAAACTGCAGCTGTTCCCAAGGGTTCCACCAACTCAAGGAGGCCTGTCTCTCAAAGACCAGTGACGTTTGCTCACCTCTGAATGCTGGGGGTCAGTGGTGGGCCCCTGGCCATCTGCGAGCATCTTCACAGATGCCCCTGCTCAGGGCTGCCCCTGACACCCCCAGCCACCAGGGCACATCCAAGACTCTAGAGATACCAGGCAGGGGGGATGTGCATTGGGAGCTATGGGGCCCTGCTAGCATGGCTTGGGGACCTGGTCCCTCCTGTGCCCCATCCAGAGCCAGGGCTGCAGCGCCGCCACTGACCATTCCTTCCCACCGGGGGCATTGCCCTCCACTCCTGCATTGTCTGCAGTTTTTAGGTCCCATTACTCTATTTACCAAACCTTGTAATAAATGTTTCTGTAACACCTGGTGCCTCTGGGCCTCTTGTTCTCTCCTGCCCACCCTGCCTGAGTCCCATTCTTCTCCAAGACCCCATTGCTGTGTCTGCTCCTCCCAAGCCAGCAGCCTCCAGACATGGGCCTTAGGAGGAGGGGTGGCCAGAGTGTCTACACTGGCCTGGGACCTCTCTGCCACTCATCAGTACCCTAGATGTAGGGTGACAGCGTGCACTTGACTCTGCAACCCAAGGCAAGACCTGTGCCTGGAGAACCAAGGGCCTTGGAGGTCAGGAAGGAAGGGATTGGAGTGGTGGGAAGGAGGTGGTGAGGCTCCATGGAGCTGCCCGGACCTCCCAAGGGTGAATCCAGAGTGTAGGGAACCGAGGAGCCCCACGTCCCACTGCCCATTCTTGGGGTCCACATATCTTCCATCCCAGGAACCACTCCTGAGTGATGTGGCCAGGAAGCCATCTCCACCTGCCTCAGGCCCCAGCTCAGCACCAAATCTCCAACAGCCTCTGGGTCCTGGAGCCCTAGGAGCCCACCTGGGCCAGCAGAGGGTCCGGCCCGGCCTCTGGGTCACCGAACATGGTGGACCTGGGAAGGTGGGTTATGCTCATGCCACACCCATGTGTGCACCTGCTGTGAGACACAGCCACTCACACATGCCACATGGGGTGGTGCCCCAGAGATGGAGGGTAGCACGCAGGACAAATACGAGGGGCTGCTCTCTGATGACACTTGCAGGCAGGAGGAGGAGGAGGAGGAAGCAGACACAGGCACAGGGGCAGATCAGGCCACAGTGGAGAAAGAGGCCCTTCAGAGCTGACCAGGCCTTTCCACCCGCTCCAGGATCAGTCGCTGGATGTGGCCACCCGGAAAGGGGTGTGGCCTCAGGCAAGGCAGCTTTTTCAACTGAGCCAGTCCGCAAAAGGGGTTTGCCCTGAGGACTGTTGGCTGCCAGACTCTGCCTTCCTCTCTGTCTTCTTCTCCATTCTCCCTCTGTGCTCCCTGGATCACCCCCCAATAACCACCTACAGTTGAGTCCTTGTACCAGGGACCTACACACAGGCACGCACACACACAGGCACACAGCCATGCAACCGTGCACACACACAGGCACGGTGACACATGCACACGCTGGCGTGTGCACCACACATGAAGCACATGCACATGCAAGGGGTGAAGGAGGCTCAGTGTCTGAGAGGTCCTGCCCAGCCCTGCTCAGCCCTGTCTGCTCCGAGGTCTCACCCATAGCCAGGCTGACTCGGACCCAGGAAAGGCACTGGGCAGTTTGCACCCCAGTCCAGGCCCTGCCTTCCAGCCCAGACAATCCCAGCTCCTTCCAGCCTCCGAAATCCTGTTCCATGCCCTGAGACAGGGAAGAGAAACCAGATGATTTTTTTTCTCTGCCACCCTAGTCCTGCTCCCCCTTTCCCGCTACCCCTGCATTCAGCTGCAAATCAGGCTCAGCAGGAGAGGATGGAATCTGAAATGAGGCTCGGGACTTCCCTCCTAACAGGCCCCAGGAAGGGCAGTTCTGGTAGCCTTGGGAGCCCAGGCTTATCAGGATCAGTCCCAGGAGCACAGGCAGTGACACCCACCTGCTTCCTGCTGAGGCCCTGGGACAAGCCTGGGGCACTTCGGGCCTCTGCTTTCCAACTCTGCCTGCACCTGAGGGCCCTGGGGGGCACCGGACTACAGTGACTCCCCTCAGGCTGGCAGGGACAGGCGGGGGCAGGGAGGGTCCCCCGGGTGAGGTGCCGTGATGAGCTGCAGTGCCAGCACATCTGTGCAAATATTACCAATTATTTTCCTCCCTATAAACACCCAGCAGGAAGGCAGAGGAGCAGCCAACCCAAACTGTTCAAAATAGAAACTGAAATTGCTGCACAGGGAAGCCGGGACAGTCATCAAAGCAAGGCCTGCACCAGGGTCCCTTGCCGGTGCCCTTAAACTGGACCTGCCCCTGCCTGCCCTCCAGCCCACCTCGACCTTCTTCCCAGGGGTCAGCAGGACCAAGATGAGAACTGCACTCGCCTGGGAACACGGTGTGCCATGGGGTGTGAGGGATGGGGCCAAGCAGGCCTGTCCAGGTGGAAAGCTGGGGGAAAGCCAGAGGAATCTGGAGCTGGGTCACTGGGCAGGTGGTCCGTGGTTTAACCACCAGGGCAGCTGCAGGGCAGGCAGGGCCTCAGGTGCGGTGGGCACAGGTGTGTGGAAGGGCCCTCCCTTCACTACCCCAGCCTGGGAAGAAGGAGTGTGCAGTGGCCCAGCCAGGGGCCACGGGAACTCAGGCCAAGCGGCCACAGTGATCTGCCCACCCTAAGTGGAAGGAACTTTTTGGAGATTTGCCCCCAGGGCCTGGCAACGCTTGCTACCACTCTCTGCCCATCAACAGGGTTGAAGACCCATATGCATGCTGGAAATGCTTCCAGCCAGCTGATAAAAAGGGCCTGCCCTAAGCTCCAAAATCTCCCTTTCTTTCCTCCCTGGCCCCTCCTCCAGCACCCCCAGGGCTCTCCAGCTGGGAGCTAAAGGGTTCACCGCTGACACACAGCCCCCCTCCCCCAAACGCACCTATCCCTGCCTGGCTGCCCTGGCTGTTAAATAGCTGAAATGTGGCCCTTGCCACAAAGACACGACCTCTGTGCCCACAGCCTCTCTCCCCTCTGCGGGTGCCCCCGAGGAAGGGATCTGGGCAAATCCGCCATGCAGCAATGTCCCCTGCTGCCCTGCAGCTGTCCAGGCAGCCTCCCACATTACCCACCCCAGCCAGGCCCAAGCCCCAGTCAGAGGGCAGGAGAAGGGGCCAATGGCCAAAGGTGCGCATCCTGAGTGCCACAGCAGGAAGGAAACTGGGAGGTGATCTAGCCACAATCCCTCATGCTGCAGATAAGACAACTTGGGCCCAGAGAGGGAGGTGAGTTGCCCAGTGTCACACAGCAAATCACAAGCCATGACCAGGCCTTGCCTCCCAGACCCAGAGCTGCTGAGTGAGGCTGGTGATGTCTGGTTGCCTCAGAAACACAGGAAAACCAGGGGCAAATGCTGCCGCGGCCCAGCAAATATTAACACGCTTGCTTCTCTCAGCGTTCCCTCCCGGCTGCTCCCGGCTTCAAAGGCTTCCCTGGCCAGGGAGGGGCTGACACCTTGGCCCTTCTATTTCTGGTGGCTTGGCAGGGGTGGGGCGGGAGAGTGGCAGCCCTGCTTTTGCCCATCCCGGCTCACCTCTCATCCTCCCTGAGACAGGGAAGGTGCTACTCTGGGCGGGGGGATCCCCATGGGGAAACTCTGATGTGCTGAGCCAAAATAAAAGGTGCCCGTTCGGCCCATCTGCATTTCTAGATACTTCCAACAGCCCTTGAACTGCTTCTGCCTCCCTCCATCTAAAGAGCCGGGCAGGTTTCAAAGTCACATCTTGCTTCACTGGGATATGACAGAAAAAGAAATCCCCAGAAGGCAGGGTCCCCAGAGACAGCCAGGAAGGGGATGGAGGGGAGGCAGGCGTGTTTGTACCCAGAACAGGGGGAGGGGAGGGCCAGGGTGAAGGACAAGCAGCAGGGACACCCTGAATGCTGGCTCTGTCGACCACCGAGGCAGGTGTTCCTGCTCCCATTTTACAGACACAGAAAC